TAGGTTATGTAAGTTTTGAAAGAGACCTATACTTTCAGTTTGGTCTCGTGTGTTACGGTAGCCTTGAGATGGCGAACTTATCCCCATATGTTTTTTCCTTAATCTTAGAAATAAAGTATAGGACTCTGATCGAGTGATAATAAACATCAATACATATTTATTTATTTTTTTGTTTTTTTTTACATTTTTTTTTATTATTACTTTTTCACCATATTTTATTTCTGGTTAAGAAAACTTGTATTCATAATGAAAGTCTCAAACGCTTGGTCAAAAGAACTACTTTAGAACTACTGCTAGAATCACTACTGGCCACCATAGCTACTACTATTAAAAAAAAAAAAACTGTTGTAGCTACCACCACTAAGCAAGAAATGACCGCCGTAGCTACCACTAAGCAAGAAATGACTGCCGTATCTACCACCATTAACACTACTGAACAAAAAACTAACTGCCAGAACTACCACCAACGAATATAGTAAGAACTACTTTATTTACTGTTTATCAAATTTGGGTTTGATTATCTCTAAAATCTTTTATTAACATAATGTTTCTTTCTTTTTAAAAGTTTTTGTGTCATATTAAGTAAATATCTTTTGTAAGCTGAACAGAGAAAGGACTTTTATTAGTTTCAAATGCTGAGCTATTATTATTTTTTATTCCTCGACGGGAAATTATTTGAATCTTCAATTCCTTTTTCCTCTTATTTCATGAAACAGATTGATCAGTATAAAAACTTTATAGTAAAGAACTAGATATCCTATATGAACAATCCGAAAATCTGGATGACAATGAGAATTTACACACAGAATAATGAAAGTATTTCTCAAAAAATTCTCAATATTCTGACAATGATCTCACCAACAATCCTACAACTCGCTGGCAACCTATACTTTGAAGATTTTCATCTATAAATTTTCAACTTTCATGTGATAATGAAACATTAAGCTATCCAACCAGATTACATGTATTTTGGTAGATAAGTTGATGCGTTTATTGCTGAATCAGAATTAACCCGAATATGTCCTTCGATCATGGAATTCATATTCAAAGATATCAAATAATGAGAATGCGCTTTGGAATAAATTTAATAGATCAAGCATGTAAAATGATGCTGGAAAACACTATGAAAATAAAAAATGAAAATGCTTATGAGAACATTGCACAAACTATTTACGAGAATTGCAGCAAATTACTAATATTTTATCCCTAAGTGCAAAATATTGAACGTCTTCAGAATCAAAAGCTCTGAGTTTTACATATCTGTAATGATTTGATTTTCAACACAATTGATCAACGGATATAGTAATATTAACACTAATAAAATGCAACCAGAACTCGATTTAGATAATCTCGAAAATATACTTTCCAAGAAATTGTTGATCGTGTGTTGGAACTTTTTGACAATATTCCATCTACAGAACGAATCATAACGTTACGATGTT